GCGCACCACCGGCGGTCCTGCCACTTTCTCCCGGCATTTTCTCAGCAGCCCCTAGCCGAGGGCGAAAGAGAGCTGCAAGAATAGCAATGGGCGAGACGAGAAACGGGAGAGGAAAGGTCGGCGTGACGAGAGAGAGAGAGAGAGAGAGAGAGAGACGGTATGAGCTACGACGAAGCGGAGCGAGCTGGAGGAAAAGGGCCGCATGGAAGGCCGATGGGGCGAAGAAGAAGAAGGTGGGACAGAAGAGAGTACAGCGCGAGGGACGCTAGGCAGTAACTCACGCCCCCGAGAGGATTACCTACCTTGGCAAGCCTCTGGAGGAGGGTGTACCCCACGTTGAGCTACGATCTTGCTGCGTAGCTACGCGTTTCTCATACAGAGTGTCTGCGGGACTCTCGTGCCTCGCAAACAGAGTTCGTTGCGGCCGTGAACGTTCGCGTTTCGGGAGGGACGCGGACACACCGGAAGCGCGACGACTTACGACACCAACGCAACGTGCCCGTTTCTCCGAACCAAGCTAACTGACCTTCCCGTGTCTCGTGTTCCCAACAACCGGACAGCGAAAGGTCCTCTAATTACGTTCGCGATTTATGCGGCCAACTTGCCCTCCGCTTGGCCGACAAGAATTCCTGGATAGTAGAACGCCGCGCCTGATGTTTCCAAGTTACGCGAACTCGTGAAACGACCCGGACTTAGCAGTCTAGACCGACCTTACGGGTCGCGGACAAAAGTCGCTGGCTGATATAGAGGGACGGAGCGTAATTGGTATTGCATCAGCGTTCGTCGCTGGTGATTTACGCGCGGGCAAATTGTCGCGTTTAAATTCGCCTGCGTCGTTGTGGTAGTGGAACGTAGGCAGCAAAAAGCAGCGAGAGCTTGGATCGATGTTGGTTCGTCAGATTGGTCGGTAAGAAGAAGATGGCTGGGCAGAAGGGTGGCTGGCGAGCCTATGGGAGAAATTTCTGCCGAGCATGGGGAATTTCGCGGAAATCCTTCACGCTGCCAGCCAATTCACTTACTTTGATTTGATCGGCCCCGCGTATGATCCGCTTTTCGCGTACACGATGTTCGCGAGAGGGAAACGAAGGGTGGCGCTTGGCAGCTCGTCGTTTTGCCATGGGTCCAGAGTTATACCGGCGTATTCCGGGTAGCAATCAACGTATTGCTTGTTCTTATTGGAGTTGGCAACATCCAAAGTCTCTCCCTTTCCGTCTCCCTGTTTATGCTCGACCATGTCGAAACTTGCTTCCAATCCAGGCAATCCCTAACCCCATTGCTGGCGGCTCTAAAC